TGTGTAATTGGTGATTCCTTCATAGCCGACATTTATGTGGTGTATTCTTCTTACCTTTGTAGCCACAAATCACCATCGTTTCTTGTCCTTTGTGTGTAAGATTGAATACCAACCGAGGTAAATTATATTGGCTGTGGATCGGAGTCGATTGGATTGATTATTGATAGAAAAAGGTATGTTGAACTGAGCCCAAAAAACCCCAAATTGAAAATCCTTGGAGAGAGCTTACGCATCACAACTAATATCAAATCTCTACTTGTAGAATCACATTAGGTTTCCAATTTGATAATGAAGAAATTATGCACAAATGCAGCACATTTGTTGGTCATCAGTCATTTATAGTGAGTCGAGATTCTCTCTACTTTATTCCCTCAATTCTTTCAGCTATAATAATTACATTCAGCATTTATGTGCCTGTTTGATACCCATTAATTTATTTTATGGTTTGCTGCAAAATCATTTTTAATCATACATTCACATAATGAAATATTCTACACGTATACCAAAATTTTTTCTCACTTTTTAACCACACATTCTCCTAAAGATACTATTCAAATAAGATAAGTCCCTTTCTCAATCATATTTATTAAAGCACAACAAACATGTCGTAAATGACCTTTTGTTACAAGGTTCAAAGCTAACCTTGAATCATACAAAATATATAATATGTAGAGTTTGATGCTGAAGCAACTCTAAGTGTGCTTTCAGTGTTATTTAAAGAAGTTTGCATAATTTCTGCTAAATTCCATAAGTAAATCAGTCTTCTAATCATTAATTCCCTTGAAATTCCAGTAGTTGTCATCCTTCTTACCCTCATAATGGTCGGGGTGGTGCTCACGCTCACAAGCATACCTGTAATGCTTCACCAGTTCATTCAGCACACGGATAGCATAGGTGACGGCGCGAGATAATGACCTCCATTTCCTCCACCACCCATCTTTAAGTGATGCATGTCGTCCGAGTTCTCGTACTTATAACCTCCATCATGCTTCTTGCCCCCATGGCTAGGCTCAGTGTTGCACGGACACTTCAATTGGGGCAATGTGCCAATGACCATCTCGGATACCGACATTCCTAGGACATTATACAATGGTCTTTTTTCCTTTTTAATCATATATATTATATATTTTTAACTCAAGGTTATTTTTAAATATTAAATAGGTACTCATACTAAAAAATTTCAACAAGAAAAATTAATAAAAAGTGTAAAACTAAGTTATAATATATAAATGAAAAACTTAAAGAATTTAATCAACTTGTTAGCGATGAATCGTGTCAGTACTTTTTTGAAAAATCGCGTGTGGTGTCGAACACGTGTGTCCGTGTGGATGCATCATAGACTAAACTTGTCCATTTTCCAGCTTTCATAGTGGTTTTGCTGATCATTGTCATTAGGCCAGCCACCGCCATGTCTATCAAGGTGGTGATGTTTCTCTTTTTCGCTAGAACAGTAACTTTCCTTCAATGCTTCATACCTCATAATAACGCCATGATTAGGCAAGGCGTGGTGGTTGTGTGGCAGAGTAGGAATCCATTGATTAGGCTTCATCATGTGAATGCGTGAACCATTATCTTTAACATAGTCGCCCTTAATGAAATTATCCTCCTCAACATAAACATAGGACACCTGCTTGTAGTCATGGCCCAGGTACCTTCGCATTTTCGAGTATTTTCTCTGTTTATTTTTCAAGTTGATTTTCATTGCTTGAAAATTTTGAGTTCAAATATATAGTATTAGATTAAAATTCCAAATTAAAAAGGATAATTGGATGCTTATTATGCTGCATATTTTGATGGTGATTTGGCATCTACAGTGGGGCAGGAAATTCTCACCACTTTATTCCCAACTCCTTACTGACAAAATTCACTAATTCTGGACAGAACTGGACGGAATTAAATGAAAAGACGAACTTCAAATCTTGTCCGGTGCGCAGTCGAGTCCTATGTGCAGACGAACTTCACTTATGGCTATCGACAGCACTTTATCTTACGAAATCAATTTCATGTTGATCAATCGGGGCTGCGTTTCAACAGTTTTGAGTTCATCTCTCGTCCTTTTCTATGTAAAATAATTGTGCGCTTATGTAACTTTTGTTAAAAATGTATTTAGTATGTGTGTCAAGATGTCTGTAAGATTTTAGACATCTATTTGATCTCTTCAGCCCTATCAACTACATCTGGTATTTACAATTCTTAAGTTGTATCGATTACAAGTTGCAAAGCTAACATTTCAAGCATAACACATATCGTAAGTAATTAAAGGACAAATAGCTTTCGACCATATGAGAGATATAGAAATGTATCAAATATTTGCTTAATAGTCACAAGTTGTCTAATATCACTTTGAATACTCATTAACCATGTTGCAACTAATGAGTAATCAAATGACAATAACTATTGACAAAATCATACACCTAATTTCTAGGATTCAGCATTTCTGATCTATAAAAACTCTGAAAGTCGAGATAAAAAATTTAGCAGCACGAACTTACGAGCATATACTGAAAAGTTGCCCAACACAAAGACATTAGCCCTGAAACGACACTGAATGTTTTGGCAATGTTCTTTTCGACCACCACTTCATTGGCTCTCTCTTTGGATGGACATAGTCTAGCCTTCTGATCTTGTCTCAACATGGGCTCGATTTCACCTTATGGTATTCTTTCTACATAGCTCAACCTTTTCTTGACGTAGATTTGGCTTTGCCTTCTGGTCCTTTCACTAGTTGGTCAGATTTTCTACTCGACCTCTCATGACATCCTTCATATATTCTTGAGTTAGGCCTCCGAAATCTAGTTGAGCTGATACCTTTGAACCTGAAGTGGTTTCTGGTTGCACGTATCTTGTTTTTCCCAATATCTTGAGTAGGGAGGAAGAATAAACATGTCTTGGAGCAACATTTTTTATTTAACTGACCTGCAAAACATAACCTCTTATCCAGTTTTCCTGAAGAGGAAAGGAGAGTGGAATGAAAATGTTGAAAGTATGTGTTGATAGCATTATTAACAGAGTAGTTCTTTAACTACATTTACAACATTTTTGTGATCTTTTAAGGAAAGATTAAGTTATTAGCGAATCAGTTTGCTTATTTTTATCTTAAATGCACAAATTGGAGTCTCAGACATTCATTTTCGATGCGTTGTTTCTCTATCTCGTATGAGTCAATCCAATAGAATTCTGGCAGTTTCTTAACATACACTTCTGTCAACAAGGGCACAAGGGGATCTTGATGATGAACTCCATTTTTGTTATGCCAGTCAATGGAATCATCCGGTATTCAGTCAATAAGTGGACAGCATAGCTGGTTGCAGCCAACGGTAAGAGGGCATGGCATCTTGTTCTCGTACTGCTATTTTTCGCGCCATTCCATCTTCTCGACCAGCACTCCACGTCTCCACCACTGAAACAATTCAACGTGTCGATCTGATGGTCATGAGAGGCGCTTGATGACGAGCCCCATTTCCATTGTGCTAGTCATTGGGATCAAATCATATTCTCTGAACAAGATTATGACACTGCTGTCCGTGGCTGCAGGGAACCCTTTCAACTTCTTAAGTTTATTAGCATTAACAATGATTTCATATTTCTATTTTTAGAATTACAATAGGATTCTAGTTCGGTAATGAAGAAATGATGCTCAAATGCTGTTTCATGGTGTGATCAGTCCCAACTACTTACGAGGAATCTGAGAAATAAGATTATGAATAAGTCAGCTCCACATCAAAAATGGTCAAACATGAAGATATTTCCCCGGGGCCATAATGAACGTTTGATATGGTCTGGCTGACCATTTTTCATTTGGCTACACTGCACCAGCTTTCTCTTTGCATAGTCTTGAATTTGACATTTGGTCTTCTATCAGCAAAGGCACTGCCGTGGTTCTCCTCTTGTATGGGCTCAACCACAATTTCTAATATTTTTTGTGCGTCTTCGAACTTTCTCTTGACGTTCATCTAAGGGGGTGGGAATTTTGAATTCTCGTTAGAAAAGGTGCCATTTCGTCCATGGTTTTGTCCTTCATGATTTTACGTTGAATCTCTAAAAATATGGAATGAAATTGATTGAAATCATCACAAAAAGACATCCCAAATATTCGTGTCAAGCATATCAATTTCAAAACAAAAAATTCAGATTTCCAAAAGTTCCATTTGTTTCATACCGGCTTTTTTGTTGTACTTTATCTGAATTCGGTAAAAGACTTGATTAATCCACAAAAGCTATTTGCAAGAAGCACTGAAAGCATCTCATAAAACGAAAGGAAGCAAGTACACCACTAATTCAAAATATTCAAGCCTCTATTTGTACAACGGCAATCTTTTCCTATTTCCGGAGTTTTCTTCACATTTTGGTTGGAGTTATTTGTCATCCATCTTCAATTTGGAGTTATGATGGCAACAAATATGAACCAGGAAATTTATAACTTGACGAAGAAATGATGCTCAAATGCTGCACAATTGATGGTGATCAGCATTTAAAGTCGAGCTCGAGATCGAGCACTCATCACTAATTATTTATGGTCACACTTTGGCCAAGTATCCTACAATGCTAATCCCAAGAACCAGAGATATTAAGGAATGCCATAGGAATGTGCCCATCGTTGACATCCTAAGATGTCTCATCTGAACGAATGTAGAACAAAGGTTATTGGAATTCATCTGCAATTAGAAAGATAAAGCTCTCGACCATAGAAGAGACGTGTATGTTGCTATCACTACTCACTCCAGTATAACAAAATGCACACGGTGTTTCAAATAGTCAATAAGTCAGTTCGAGACTCATAAACCATGCTGCAAATTTATTCGAATCTCAGCAGCTATTGATGCCAAGATCTTCTAGGAGACGCAGCTACCTACGGTAAGTAGGAAAGAACATCTTCCGAGATGTAAAACAATCAAGGTATGGGGATAATAGAACATAATTGCCAGAACAAAAATTTCTCACCAACACAATAACTATAAGAAACTTGAGCATAGGTCAGAAAGTTAGCAACACAATTTGCAAACAGAATATGAATAAATTAGTCCCACATCAAAATTGCTTAACATGAAGATATCCAAGAAACCACAGTGAGTCTTTTGGGGCATGAAATTCGCAGATAATATCACATCAATGCAAATTAATACACAACCCTCCAAGTGCAATTCTGTTGTTAAACTCTCTCGTAGTAACTAAATACTATCCATTCCGCCTGAAAACCAGCTCTATATAGAGTTATATACAAAAATACACTCAAGAAATCCAAGAATACATCCATTTTTTCCTCCAAAACATTTGTAAAAGAATGATATAACTATGACTGGACATGTAGCATGATTATAAAAGCAGCACACCTCAGTCAACAATTGGTGATTGAAATCCTCCTCAGCTGGGGACTCTACCTTCATGAAAAGGAAGCCTATGGGATCTATTAATTCAGCCACTTTCTCGTATGCAATTCCCGGGCAAGAGAAATTTATATTCTTCAGGACTTCGTAAAAGATATGCAGGGAGATGCACGGCTGAGTATGAATGGGGAATCGGCCCCATTTTCCCGATGATTTCTTTAAAGGTGTATTCTTCAGGTAGCATATCGAATAAATCAGCCCCTCGGCAGATTACTCTTTGGATTCTTCTAGGATTCATATAATGAGAAAACCTGACACGATCCACATGACTGTATGCTTTCATCTTGAAAATGAACTCCTTAATGCGTCGGAAGCAAAAGCTACAATGCCACCCTGCATCTGCCAAAATGTCGTCAGATTGCCGATAATGTGCATACTTCGTCTTCCCAGATTGATATCTGTGAATCGAAGCTCTCCAGCTATTATTATCGACAAGAAACTCGAATGAATACAAATAGTTCTTCAACCGAAGATGGAGGATTGAAGGTATGTCATCGCACCACCTCAAGAGATTAATAGTGAAAAAATTTAAATTCTAAGGTGCCAAAATCGATTTTGCAAAATCAACCACTCCAAAAAATATATATATATAAAATCATTGAACTGCACGGAACACTCCCAAGAATCCCAAATTAGCAAGCAGGAATTCAACAAGATTTATTACAAATAAAAACCCAAAAATTTGAACGAATCTATACATTTAAATTCAATAAAGATGGGAAAAAAAAAAAAGATAAAAGAAAAAAACTTACCTCCTCACAAATATCATCAGTCTTCTTAGAACAATAATGAGATCCCCCTTCTGCCATCGTAGACACTTTCTCCCATATTCGTGATACACCCAACATATCCCTCACTCCCGCCCCACCTCTATATATCTATATGTATATATCACCCCCTTGATTTCAAAATCCCACAAAAATGCAGCTCAAAAAGCACCCTCCAAAACCATGTAGAGATCTCCAAGCACCCTTGAATACTGAATATATTTATGACAACCCAGAAAGCAGATTTCTTGAAATTGACAAAAGAAATTTAAAAAAGATTTAAAGGGAAAATCGAAAGGAATTAATACAGTAATGTAATGCAACAGACAGACAGACAGATAATAAAAAAACCAGGAAAAGGTGTGTTTTTTTTATTGGAAGCCTCTCTGACGAATGGGTGGCAGTTTTGAAGACTACGAGGAAGCCGTTTCTCTTGTTTCGTACCCAACTTCTATAGGGACCATTTCATTTATAATCCTTGAAACGTTGGGAATTTTTGGACGTGTTTGGACTATAATGTCCATGGAATAATCTGATTATTGAAATTTAAGCATGGGTATTTTGGTCGTTTTGATGATTTGTATTCTTGGGACACTTGGGCTAGGTCCCATGCGCGTTGATTGACTGGCTCAAGACAGCCAATGCGCGTCTCGTGTGTGTTTTAAAGAATATTAAAAAGTAAACAATTTACCTTTTTTTTTTTTTTTTTAATATCCGGTTATCCACCTTACAGTGACTAAATTCTGAAGTCTACACCTTGACCCCTCAAGCTGTAGACAGGTTAAACCGCAGATTGTACCCCAAACTGACCAGTGCTCAAGAGCCCCCCAATTGATCTGCCAAAGTGCCAAACAAGTCGTATTTCCCATCTTTGCACCTTGTAAACAATTTACTTTTGAGTATACTTTGAAGAGTCTTAAAAGAAATTGATCAAAAGTAATTTTTTCATAAATCTAGAAAGAGAAGTTATCTCAAACAAATCACAAGTCGAGATTCATGAAGGTAACTTATTTCTAATTTTGATAGATGAAAAGTTGTTTATGTTACTTGTGTATGTGTAAGTAAATTGTCTATGCTTAACCAAGCATAGTATTAAACGATAATTTTTGTTTATTTCGAAGTTTGTTTTTATATGAATTAACATTTAAATCTTCACAAATTTTAGTGTTTGCTATATCATGTTACAGATTTCTAAATTAATGACACATAACTGAATTTTTTTTATCTGGAACCATGAGATTGTCTTTCTTAGGAATTGTTTTCGATAGATCGATCGAAATTGAATTTGAACAAGAAGATCTTGCTAGATAAGATCTTTTACTTGGAAATAATTCGGAGTTTTTCAATCATTTTAATGATGTTTGAGGCTTAATTTGTTATTGGTGTTGCTTCATTAGAGTTTTAAAGAATTCAAAAAATTTCACTTTAAAATAGCCAACATCAAGATGAGTTAGATTCGTTCAATTGCAAGGACATGTATAACATATGTATCTACATTGTTTATCTTTGATCAACAAAAGATAGGAGTTGATAAATAAATAAATAAATTGGAATGATCGATTTTCCAATTTCTTTTGATAAAAGCAAGTAGATGATGAAGGAAAATAAGAAAGAACGTGCATTTAGAAAATTCGAAATGAAAAATAATTAGTTATATTCACTTTAATTATTTGTTAGTACAATTGGATAATATATCGATTTTTAGTATTTGTTGTGTTTTCCTTTCCCCTGATTCTCTAATTGGAGAGAATATTAAGGTTCATAAATTTTTATTTTTATTTTTATTTTTTGTCATCAAGATACTTATAATTAAATAGAAATAACACTATATAATAAACTTGTTGAAATATAATAGTACGATTAATTATAATTACAAATTAAATGATATTTCACTAATTTTAATAGATAACAATTGCTTGATATAGTGTTAAAATTTAAATTGTTGATATGATGAGACTATAATTGTATCTAGGATGATTTCGTGTCGTGGTATATTCTAGTGTCATAGCATACAAGGTAATCATCATAATATACCATGACAAATTAAACTATGTTTTCGAAAAATATAAAGGGGACAGTTCCTCAAACCAATTAATAAATTTGACAAATTTAGTAGAACTCTATATCTAAGTTAATTTTACAATCTAGACGTATTAAACTCTTTTAAATTTCATGTACTCACATCCAAACGCATCCCAATAAATATTTTAATAGATCTAAATAATTAAATTTATTTAAATTAAACATTTTATATATTTCCCAAATTTACTAGTAGAAGGAACGATGCCAAATTTACATTCAATTACAGGAAAAAAAAATTTGTTGCCTCAATCTAGCAACGGTAAAATGGCTTGCAGGCTCGAGCCGCCCATAAAAAGCTCGAGGCTGGCCCCATCTTGGGGGTGTCAGCCTGAGCCAGTCTTGTGTGACTTGAAGGCCGACTCACAAGACTGGCTTAAGTCGAGCCTCGATTTTTTGGCCCAACTTTTGCTTGGCTCAAGCCAATAAAAGCTCTACCTAAAAAGGTTTGTGTCAACTCTAAACCCGATTTTCAGTTCGTGAGTCGATTCGATTCGATTCATTGACACTCTTAGTTCAATCTATTAAATATAGTCAAAGTTTCAATATTACGTGGCCCAAATAGCGAGCATAATAGGAATGGAATCCTACAAGTAGGGATGGTAGTGGGTCGAGCCGAGCCGGCTCGTTAACCCACAAGCTCGGCTCAGGCTCGTGGCGAGCTGAGCTTGTGGCTCGTTTTTCACTAGCCGAGCTCGGGCTCGGCTCGCCCGCGAATTTTTTTTTTTTTTTTTTTTTTGCAAATTTTTCAAATTTTATTGATAAAATATTATTTTTTTCCACTTTTTT